CCTGTGCCAGGCCGTGCAAATCTCCATGTTCCTCATTCTGTTCTTTTACTGTTAGGCTCCAAGGAATGTGCCAGATGTGACAGTACCTGATGGCATGGCACACAATGACTTCATCACCAGGTAACAACACAGAACAGCGCTAAGAAAAATGAAAGTTAGCTTGAAACAAAATTGCAAGGCAGCCAGTCTGAAGAGGAGTAAGACGCCTCCACCTTGGCTATGCCTGTGCTGGGAGCAAATGTAAGCGTCAATTGCAACAGCTATACAAGGAGGGTGGTGGTGAAGTGCAGTAGCATCCTTTGGACATCATTGTTCTGCATAGCCAGTATGAGGAATACAGCCAGAAGACTGGGAGCATTCCAGAGCCTGGGATGCCAGAGCAGTGTGCCAGCACTGTGGTGCCAACGCTGCAGCTCCAGCTCCAGATGAACTTTGAGATTCATGCAGATCCCAGGCACTCACCCACAGCAGCAAAAACTTATCCCCAAAACAATGAGATGGATGCACTGCAACACTAACAGAAACATGTCATTAAGAAGCATGGTTTGCTACTCTTTCCCTTTAAAATCCTTGATAGCATACTATCTCAGTAAAACCTGGGCTCCTCTCATTTGCTCCATTTGAAATTCTCTGTAGGTAGATCACACAAGGTATGACAACCTCTGTAAGACGAAGGAATAGCTCTTGGCTTTCCAGCACTGAAAGTAATGATAAGAATGACGGCAAAGCCTACAAGCAGGCTTATGGGACTGTATCTACCTAACGCTGGAATGGATTAGCATCTGCCCTGTCTGTTCTCCCCTTTGTGAATGTGTGGATTCACCACACTAGAGCCCATCCCCAGTATCCATCTGCTCCTGGTACTGATGATGCAGTGGAAGCTGGTCAGATCACGTCTAAGAAACCCTTCACAAATCACTGAGGATGCCCCGAAGGATAACACAGCAGTATTGGTACAAAGCACTAGGGACATGATTTCTTTTCCCTACAGGGTATGGGGATTGCAGATAAGGAGAGCACTGTGCTTTCTTAGGACTGCTCAGCATGCTACTTTGTTTATTTTGCTTCAATGAAGATGAAACAGATGCTATTTGTTGGTCAGTAGTGATGCTGTGACCAACACGTGCAGGCATGCATTGTGCGTAGGACTGGAGATTTCACCCTTCTTCCCACACAGCCCTCAGACACTCACGCTGGCTGTTTTTTTCTTTCACTGCTCCTGTTATCCACTGCTTTTCAAAGCAGTCTGCTTTTCCAGACCGCTGACATGAGGTGCTGCTCTGAGGCAGCAGTGAAGGTAACCAAAACCTTCAGGAAGGCCCACCACACTGTGCAGACGCATCGATGGGGTTCCTAAGGAGCACCCTGCCAGGATCTCATCAATTTCTGTGATTCATGCAAAGGACTGGCCTTGCAGGAAGAAGTGGAGGGAAGGAACCTAGGAAAATGGAAAACCGTGCATCTCTGAAAACATTTGAAACTTGCATTGGATACTGCCACCAAAGCAAAACCTTGAGCAATAGTTTCCCATTTTCCATCTTTATTTCTCTCTGTACAGGCATTCACAGCAGAAAATGTGCAATGATATTATGCCCCTGTCTTCAGCTGATAATGAACAATCTAGTAGATAGATATATAGCTGTCACTTTGCTTCTGGGATCCATGTCATATACTGAGAGGACATTACAGGGTTCCAGAACTGTGAGTTTGATATATGTAAATGTTTTCTAAGTTTTACTGACAATGAAAATTCATTTTGTGAGTGATACAACACTAGGACTGATGTCAGAGAGCATGATATTAACTTTCAGTCATTTTGGCATGCTGTTCTACTAGTGATGAGGCAAAGAACTTGATAAGCAGTCAAGCAACTTCTAATTTAATTTACAGCAAATCCTTTGACACAATGGCAAACTGAGCATATCCCAGCTAAAGAGCATATGGAAGTTCATTTCCCAGTTACATTTCTGGTGACATAGAGCAATACCAAAGAGCAAGTTTCCTGATTCAGCTCTGGAATAGATGTATCAATGTGTTTCAACAGAAACAGCTTTTGGAAAGCAACTAAAAATCACACATTTATGATCCACTGTAGGATTACTTACAAACGTAAGTCCTAACTCATCAGCCTTTAGAACACAGCGTATCTTGGTAACTTTATGTTCTTTTCTTGAATAATCCCATCAGCTGTGCAAATTTGAATGACTTTGTCTTCAAGTGGCATTTATATCATAATTCACTAAAGTCATTGTAAAACACAAAAGTCAGCAATTTTAGTCAATCCTTGCTTTGTTCAAAATCACATTGACCAGCTCCACAGCGGAGATCTGTCTGATTATAACTTTGTGCATCTGTTATATAAAATGGATCATACAATAATAATCAGTCACACACTTTTCTGCTCTCCCAATCTCTCCTGAAGAGTGTTAGGCAATTACCCTCCTATCACACTTGCTTTGTCTGACAGCAAACCACAGCTTTCACATGGGGGAAAAAAAGAATGACAGAGCATCATTGCTTGGACAAGATTCACAACTCCTGACAAACTGCCATGCAGCTTGAATTGCTCCATTCAGAAGTAGAGCTGCTCTCCCCAGCTCCCACAGCGCAGCAGACAACAGCACTTGCCATGGCACAGCACATGGTGCAGTAGCAAGAGTAAAGAGCTTCTTTTCCTCTTCCCATCTCATCAACCCTGAGGGAAGAGAGACTGAGATGCACAATGAAAACAGACGAGCTTCACAACAAGATTTACACTTACAAAATCCCAATTTAAAATTGGACACTAAGCAACAGCATGAAATTCAACAAAAGCAAATGTCAGGTGCTGTGCCTGGGATGGAGCAATGCCAGACCCAGGTACAGATGGGAGAGGAGTGGCTGAGGAGCAGCTCAGCAGCAAGGGAGCTGGGAGTGCTGCTGACAGTCGGCTCAGTGTGAGCCAGCAGCATGCCTGGCAGCAAATCACATTTTGGGGTGCATTAAACCCAGCATAGCCAGCAAGATTCTCCCACAAGAGTGTGATCTCCGTTATATAAAATGGATGATAAGGTCCCTAAAAGCTTCCAGAAGAAGCACCAAAACTGGTACAAGGGCTGGAAGGCATGTCCTGTGAGGAGAAGCTAGGACATTTGGGTTGTCTGGTCTGGAGAAAAGGAGGCTCCGAGGTGACCTCATTGCTCTGCAGCTTCCCAAGGTGGAAAATGGAAAGGGAGCTGCTGAGCTCTGCTCCTGGGAATTAAAAGCAGGATGCATGGAAATGGCACAAAACTGCACCAGAGGAGGTTTAGACTGAACAATAGAAAATTTTCTCCCAGGAGGGTCTTCAAGCACTGGCACAGGCTTCTTTGCAAAGCGAAGATGATTGCCCCAAGCTGCCAGTGTTCAAGAGGCATTTTGATAATGCCCTCATAAATGTGTTTTAATTTTTGGTTAGTCCTGAAACAGGCAGTTGGACTAGATTATCAGAAAAATTCCCTTCCAACTCTATTATTCTATTCTGTTCTAAAACTAAAAGCACTTTCAGCAGGACAGGAATGTGTTACCTGCAGTTTAAAATCACAGTTTGAAAAACGAGGATCAATGCAAAACAGTCTGAGTTTCAGTGAGACTTTTGGCAAAAGATCAGTAAATTGGAGCTAGGACATAAACCTATTAGCAATCTAGTTCCACACTAGGCTGTAAATGTCACAAAGCTCATGCAGTCATTAGTCATCCCTGTGCACACTACATACACACACAGGATAGAAAAGAGATCTTATGAACACCTATCTTGAACATCAGCATGGATACAAATATCATCAGTAATAGGGGATAGCAGAGTAAACTGGGCCCAATACATACAGGAACCTCCCAAAACTATTTCCCCATAGCTCAGCTATGAAATACCACTGGCATTTATATAAATTCAATTATTATTTTTAGATCTTGGTGATTTTCATTGCCTTTGTACTTGAGGAATCCAGATAAACAGAACCTAAATGCTGAAATGCTTTGAGAAAAGCAGTTGACATAAGTTTACTAGCCCCAGGTTGAAAAATTAAAAGGGCTGGAGCAGCAGCTAAGCATCCAGAAGTTAATTCTCTGTCAGCATACATGAATGCAGCTCCACTGGGCAAAGAACGTTCCCACCAGTCCTGTGACTGCTGATCTGAACAGAATCATTCTCGTATGGTTTACTGCAGAAACAGCCTGGCAGTACCGACCCGGTGCTCTTGCAAAAGCTAAAAGTGAGACAAAAGATCACAGCAGACACACTCATGTCCTGATCTGTCTTCACAGCCAAAACTGTGCTGGTAGCTACTACCTCTATATGCCATATCATAGTCTCTCCCACAGACCTTGCATATTATCTGCCCTTTAACTGAGTCATCCAATTCTCCATTTGGAAAGCACATCTCCTTTGTGTTCGTTCAGGAAGACAAATACACTGCCTGAGTCATTAGGATTTTTCATGTGGTCTCGTCTTAATGTTCCAATACTCCAGTTTAGACAATATCCACTTGGAGGAGTTCTTTGCTCAGCAGCAGGAAAGAAAATAACCTGACTCCATAATGAAAACCTCAAAAACATCCCAAGTACTAAAGGGTAATGAGACATGGCCCTGATTGATTGTCTAATAACCTTTATCTAGATACTAATGAATGTAATAAATTGTGAGATTTATGTACAGTCTCTGCTCACAGACCATCTTTTAAAGTACCTTCATGGAGAACAGCAAGTTGTGATGTGACTTCCAGCTTCAGTTTCACCAGGAAAAAAAAAAAAAAGACCTGTATAATGCATAAATTTGAACTGATGATCAATCAGCTGAGACATTACAGTGAAACAGTCTAGGGGAATAAATTTGCATTAAAGTTTAAGTATTATTGTGAAAAAATATATATTTAAAATTTCAGACATACTTTAGAGGTCACAAGAGCCAGCAAGAATGCTCAGTTCATTTTATCGTCATCATTATTTATTACAATCTGATAATTTATTAGTTTCTTAAAACCCAGACGTAATATCTCAAGGTCTTCTTATATCACAGAACCAAAGAATCATAGAATGGCTTGGAAGGAGACCTTGATGTTCACCCAGTTCCAACGCTCCCGCTGTGGGCTGAGTTGGCTAGTCTGGAAGATTCTTCCTCTACATGACCAGCAGCCTTCCCCCTGCTGAAAGGGCTCCTCACAATCCTTTGCCTCTTCACAGGTTCCTAACTAAACCAAAGAACACATTCAGAGTCTATCAAGAAGCTTCTCCTTTTTCTCCCTCCAGCTTTTCTGCTCCTGTGATTTTATAGGATGGTACTCCGCAGCCTCCACCCTTTGTTTTCTGCTTCTGCAGCTTTATTTCTACTTTAGGCACACTTCAAAAGCTGTGCCAAAAGAACGGTGCCATGCAGAAGTGCAGTGCCACGTCTCCACTCTGCCTGTTTCAAACAAGACGGAGGGATTGACAGAAATCTTAGTGTACTTACAACTTGGAAAAGAGAATTAAAAGTCACTTTGTTGCCTATTCAGGCAGCTGAATTGCCAAGAAGCCCTGAGCTGCCACCAGCAGTTTCATTCTGTGGGTATACACTGCCAAACATTTCTGTGTTCAGACCTGCTCTCACTTTTCAGAAAGGAAGGAGCCCACTTTTTCCCTTTTTGCTTCCCTCATTCTCTCACTGTGCAGTTGCACTTTTAGTATGCAATTTTCTAGAAGAAGAGTATGGAAGTACCATTTAAAATGTACAGTGTGGTCTGCTTTTGGATCTGGGATCAGAACTGCAAGGAATTATCGTGGACTTTAACATGACTCCATATCAAGGCCTCTGAGTGTTACAGAAATGTATAAATAATACAGTTTGGGATCAGAATTTGCTAATAACACTTTCTACCAATTAGGCTTCCCAAATTTGGAAAGTGGGACTGTGAGGCAAGCTATTCTCTGGGTGCCATTTGAACTCTTTCCCCCTTATATTTTGTTGTAGAATTAAGAAATAACAGGCAAGGGATCTGGGATAAAAGCAGGGCAACCTATATGGAAGCTTCCATTTGGATTGGCAGTGTTCATATTTGAGGGCAGAATCCAAGTTCTTACTTTTGTGTGTGTGTTATTTGACATGTCTGTGACTATTTAATTCCTCCACTTCCTTAGGGCAGCGACTTCTGGCTAGTTTTAAGGGGTTCTGTAGCTAAAGAGGCCTTCTCCTCCCCAAGGCACAATCTATATGTTTCTCCAGTTTAGGGAAAACAGACCAGTCCCAGTGTCAAACTGCAGCTGATCAGCAGGCAGGTGTGAAGGAAGCACAATGTGCTCTGGCCCCATCCCTCCAGCCCAGGGATGCTTGCCATGCCAGAGAGAACCTGGCAGCTCCCCCAGGCAATGGCTGTGCTCCAGGCTCATTCAGCAAACCTGGGGGCAGGATGAATCCAGCAGGACAAAACTGGGTCCAAAATGCTTGGGTGGCACTGATGGTGGCAAAGTATCTCATGAGAAAGCACTCAATGTGATATGCTAAAAACAAGCATTCACTCACTATTGCCATGAAAAGATTCTCTGTGTCTGGGGATCAGTTCTAACACCAGCTATTTCCAAAGAATACCAGCTATCACTTTCAGTATTTTCACTGTAAAAATAATTTTCCTACACTCTACAAACCTGAAAGAAATCCTAAACAGCTCCCAAGAAACTGAAACATCTCAGATGAAGGCAAGAACAGTAACACCTATAAAGCATATTTGTAGCAGCACTTAATGAACCATCAGGGCCTAATCCTCATTTAGATTGTGCAAATATGAACGGCCTTTTGCTTCTTTTTATGTTAGCATCGTTTGCCAGCTAAAATCAATGTCAGTACAAATGAGCAATGAACAAGGGAATGTGTCCAATATTGTCTCCATTTTAAGATTCCAATGTTGATTTTTCAACTTTCAGAAAGACTCAATATAAATTTGCAGTATCTTTGTGGCAACATCCTTGCCCATGACTATAAATATTCATAGAAACAGTAAGAGAAAATGCTTTGCTTTTCCAAGGACAATTGATCCTCCTGCAGAATTTACTTATTTGTATTATAGATCATCCAGTTTTTATTCTTTGAGAGAGAACGTTTAACAACTCTTAGCATGTGATGGTCTCCACATGACTTCCCATTCCCCGTGTTGGGAAGAACAGAGCATTTGCACAGCATTAATAAAGAATGCCTGTTCAAAATTGAAGAGAAACAGTTCCACAGCAATTAGTCATTAGCAAAGTGCAGACATGCAGCCTCACCAGCAAGCATCTCTGAATATGCAACCCTGACAGTCTTTTCAATAGACCTCTGCTTGCACTCTGCTTCTCCCGGTCACCAGAGAACAATAGCTATGACTAATTCAGGTTTTGAATGCTGCCCCTGCAGCACTACAGAATCTGCAGCACAAAAATAACAGATGTGCCTCGAGAACAAGTCTCACAGGTGCAGCTAGAACCAGCAATATGTGAGAAAACCCAAAGCTTGCTCCTATCAGCAAAGTTACAAAGGAGACCTTGCTGAGGAAGGCAAAACTCATCCATCACTTCTTCTAGCAAGCAGTACACAAAGACCCAGTTTTTTCCAATTTCCTTTCTCTTTTGAAAGCTTGAATAGCAAAAAATATTTGCTAGCTATGAAAATGTTTCCATGAAAGAAACTCAGATACTGGTCTAAATGAAGAGCATTATTAATGTTACTCCTAAAAATCCCATACCAAAAGCTATTTCCATAGCTGGAAACCTCCGGTTTTTGACAGGTTTATTTTCTAGGGGCACACATAATATGCAAATTAAACAAGTATACAAATAATAAAATTTTATTTAGAGGTAAAAAATAAAGCTGATATTCAAGTCACATTTAAGATGCAAATACTGTCCTCTCAGGACTAGATAATTTCAAACTGCAAAATGATTTTGTTTATATTTCCCTCAATAAGCAAAGTATAGAGGAGCAAGAAACAAATTTTGCATTTTATAGCTTCTAAACAAGTGCACCTCTGTCTAAAAACAGAACGTAAACATAAATGTACCACACACTGCAACTTCAATTACAACTGTTAAACAACAGAGCTCTGAAATAGCTGCTCTAATTGCCAAAATATGCCATGCCTAGCACACCACGTAACACTACCAGCATAAATACCATCTCCTTCAGCTTCACTCATACCGCCAATCTTGCTGTATTCAAACCACATTCCACAACAGCACTTTCCAAGCTGAGGATTTTGCCTTTCTTTTACTTTCAATAAACTCACTGGCTAGGAAGTAAAATGATAATAAAAATAATATACAAAGACATAATATTAATTAATTAGATGTCCAATAAATTTTTAGTAATGGGCACTGCAAATTTAGTTTCATGCTGTTGCTAAATATCAGAAGAAACAGAGAATCTCTGAAATTCTCTATGTTTCTATTAATTAATGCTCTACATAAATGAAAGGAGTTAAGGCATCTGTCTGGTTCATACATTAACCAGAGATTCAGTGTTCCTGTCCCATCTGATCTACAATGATTGATTTAATCTTAACAGCAACCATTAACTATTAGGGAAGCATTACTTTAACAATGTAGATACACATGGGTGTCAACTGCTCAGCGACAGTGTGCCCTGTATAAATAATAGGCTCCGAGCTAGATTCATCAAAGAGAGCAGGAAGATGTCTTGGAAGAGAGAGAGGGAAAATGAATTCGATGAATCATGTAAGTGGCAGCCTGCATCTTGAGAACAGTTCTCCATACTGTGATTATGAATGTGTTACATGCAGAGTTTCGTCAGCAATTGCTGAAGAGGAGTAAGATGCTCAGGAGCAGCACAGTACGTTGGTGAGCACAGCACGTGGGAGGCTCTGATTCAGGGCCCAGGAACTCTTCCAAATGGCCCCAGTAGGACCTATAGCAAAGCACTATCGGAAGAAGGAAGGAAATGCAGGACTTCAGATGTGCTTCAGGGTAATGATGGTGCCACAGCTCGCTGATTACAGGCCAGGTCTGCCACAGGCCAGTCCCCTAGCCAGCCCAGGCCACAGTGAGAAAGTGATTTGGAAACTCAAGAGCCACTGAGGAAGCGCTGCTGTGCTGTCCCAACACTGATGGGGGCTGACTGTATCATACAAATAGCAAACATCATCGAGTGAATCCCCACTGCTGCTTCAGAGCTGATCCTTTATAGGCAACCCACACACTGAGTCGTAATTACATATGTCATTCACTGAATAATTTCAAATTAATGAATGTGTTCATGAGTATTTAAAGTGCTTTCACAGACCATTCACACACAGAAAGAGCTTCAGAAGCGCCACAAGAACTATGGGGAAACAGGCTTTCACTGTGAGTGCATTTTATAGTTGAAATTCACACTGATTCTTTGCCAGGCTGAGAAGGAAATTTTCTCAGCTGGATTTAGATTATACACAACCTCAGGTTATCAGGGGGCCTAAATGAAGGGCATGCCATCAACGTGAACAGAAGGACAGAAGTTCATCACTTGGCCGCAAGTGTGGCCCTGTATGCAGAGCCATAGCTCCAGGGGAAAAGACTTTACAACAGCTTCCTCCACAAAGCCCTGCCGAAGCAGCAGCAAATGCCTGCTTCAAGAAACCATATTTCATTTTGTTCTCATATTTTCTGCAGCTGAAAATGAACTGGGATAAAGCAGACTACCAATTAAGTCTAAATAGTTTAGATGGAACAGGCTTTGGTATTGCAGACTTCTTAGATTCTTTGTTGGGGTAGAAAGTGAAGTACTTGAGGCAGACCTCAACTTCTGTCACTTCCAGACACTGCACAGCTGTGTGTCCAGGAGGCTATGCCTCATTTTCAGATATGCACCTCATCAAATAAATCCAGTGCAGTTTCTGGAATTGATTCTTAACTATCACAGTGAAAACCAAATCAGAAAAGCCAAAGCAGTTGCCACTGTTGCCAAGGCAGAAAACAGAAGCTTCCTAACCCTGAGACTTCCTTCTCTTCTCCATCTACCCTTGGGAAAGTGAAAGCAACTTGAGATCTTAGCACTTCCAAAGCTCTTCCAGATGTACCCAGAGGCCAGCTCTACCTTGAATCATGGAGCAGAAGTATGCAGGAATGGAAATAATCTCCTAAGTAACTAATTTTGTTTCCTCTCCCTCACAAGAAATCATGTTGTCATGCTGCTCTCCCTTCAACAGTTGGACCCAGGCCTGGGGAGCTGGAGACAAGCCTGCACCACTGGTGAGGAAATATCCTTCCACCATGACCAAATGTGTCTGAAGAGCCCACAGGAATGTGTCAACACTGATAGACAGGCAATGCATAGAACTCACCTTAGAAAAGGAAGCAACTTCTCAGAGGCAATGGAACATCTAAATATGCTAAAAATAAAAGGAAAAATCAGTAGAAGTAAATTAGGAGTATGGAAAGTGAAAGATTCACTATTTTTTGATAGAGCCTTCTACAAGAGGGAAATCATAACCGTTAACATCCCTTCCCCACTAATCTCTTTCTCTTCCTGACTGCTAAGGAACAACAAAAGTCCATGCAATTTTGCTGACCATCAGACATCACTTCGTTTTTCATACAAGCACCACAAGACAGGAAATGGGATCACCTGTATTTTGAATGTAACTTCTCCAAACCCGACACAGAACATTCCCACATGACAAATGTTAAGGCCCTGTGCAGTTTCTAACTGCTGATCTAGCCTGCACAGTACACTTGAAAAGCTGACAAATCATAGAGATTTTTCACAGACAATGCAGTTGCTGCTGTGACCACAGCTACATCAGCTTTAATTTTAAACCACGCATCCTTCTCTTTAATTTAAACATCCCCTTTAGTGCAGAATGACAGAACTGTACAATACAGCTGGCCTAGGTTTATTAAACTTCAGTGCAATGTGTAGCCAGTCTGACTAGTTGGTTTGACATTGATATGAACTGAAAAACATGCTGATTTATTGTATCTGGGTCTGAAGGTGATTGTTTATTGTCACTGCCACACAGATGCAAAAACACTGCCTGGGGGAGAATGTATCAGCTTGCAAACAATATAACAAGAGAAAAAAGTATTTCTCAAAAAACATAGCAGACTACTTGTGATATATCTGGGATCTTTGCTGAACCTGCCGCTGAGTAAAATGGCTAAATTTAACAAAACAAAATTAAAAATAAAACATTGTGTCATCATGCGCTCAATTTTGGCACTTAAAACTGATTTAGCCAATACTTCTGAATGAATCACACTGTCCTTCTTCCTTTCATACTTGAGGAGAAACTGACCCAGGTTTCACAGGAACTACAAGCTGATTCAACACTATCCCAGATGTCTACAAAGGACTGACATGCAATTCCTGATGCAAATTGAAGTACATTGCTAGAAGTGGCCTAACTTTACATTTCAAGGAGATCCATGAGCACTGCAGTACAAATTAGGGATAGGAAATGTAAATAGCAAAAGAAATTTCACTTATCACCACTTCTGAAAGTAATCATGAAAGAAAAGTGCCAGAAGACAGAGAGCATTTTCACTTTCTTTCCTCATTTTTTTAAGCTGTTAACCTAGACCAGAGCAAAAGATGACATTCAGATCCTCCGAGGGAAGAAAAAAAAGAACTAAGAGTTCATCCAGTGCTATTATTCAAACACTCCCGCATCCATCAGATGAAGCACAGTTCCACCAAGCTGGAGTTTCTCCCTGAGTGAGTCAAAGCAGAGGCAGCAGCACACCAGGGCAACCTGGCAATGCAGGTGTGGTGCCTGGTTGCCTTCCTCCTATCATATGACACACAGCAGGTACACAGCCAGGAATGCTGGCAAGGTGAGGGAAGATGGTCACATCCATGTCACCTTCAGAAATCTGCTCTTGAGACCAAACTGAAATGTTTCTCTGGCTTGAAGAAGCTTAAAAATTAGAGAGTTGTTTGGATATATCCACAAACAACCACTGACTTGTGGGTCAGAGCATCAGATCCTTTTATAATGTTTAGGTTTTATCAGAGAATAAGCATTATTCAAAAACATAATCATAGAATTCAAGTGGACATCTGAATTTTGACTGAGAAGTACTGCAAGCTTAGAAGGATTCTGAGCTAAGATTTGATGACTAAATAAATGAATAAAGTTATCTCTTTGTGGCTGTTAAGTTGATTACTAGATTTTTCTATCACACAGCCCTAGTTCTCAGCATACTCACACACAGAGTAACAGATTTGCCCTCACCAGTGCCGTTAGTGACCTTGTCCCTTGGCCTGAGCACTATGTACACAGAGTGCCACCTGTCAGTGACCTTTCAATGTCACAGAAATAACTGAAAGGAAACAAGCAATCACCTTTTCAACTGAAATTTCATTTGCAAGCTGTAATTTTGATGTGAAAAAATATACATTTTTGGAAGTCAGGAAGAAGGCAGAACACCACCTACTACATGGATGTCATGATGACTTCTATCCAATCATTCAGTCAACACATTCTCAGGAACACTTATCATCATCTCTTTCCTCTTCCTTTTACTGATCTTACAGTGTAGTAAAAGAAACATCTGTGGAAAAACAAATGTAAGAGTGATTGCACATTCAATCATAGAGAAGTTACATGTTGCTATCCTACAAAATCAACTGTAATGAAACACTGAACCAGGTCACCAGGGCGTAATACTTGTTGTTGTGTGATCAGTACAGCATCCATCTCTGTCAAAGGACCAAGATATCATAAGTCTCTCAGCTCAGATGTAACCACATCTTACAAATCTACCATATCATTTGGAAACTTTGATGCTTTTCATGACTTCAAATGGCTTGAAAATATATCTTTAGTCCATCTTCACATCTTTTTGTGTGTAGATTTACAGATCTGTGTACTATTCATCTTTTCAAATCACCTTGTACACATAATGTATTGGTGATAGGGAGGGGACGGTTCACATCTCTCAGTCTTTGCCAGTGATTCAGACATGTAGGTATAAGTGACCAACTGGTCCTCATCCATGCTCTTTAGTGACTTCTTGGCATCTCTAGAGTAAAGATCATGAGAAAGAAGAAGGTTTCTTGGGATTGAAAACTCTGCATCATGATGGCATAATCCTACCAAAATGGAAGATGTGAAAAATAATAAAATAAGGAAAATAAAATTTCAAAGGCTGTGGCTAATTCTGTCATGGCTCCCTGGATTAAATGACAATTTCTGTGCAATCCCTGAATTTAAATCCTACTTTCTACTTGGGGTAAATCAGGACTATGTGCAAAATTTTTCTATATTTAAACAAACAAAGCAAAGACAAAAGTTGACCAGCATTTGAACATTCTTTAAAGTAAGAAAGTCTGTGCATATACATAATTTCTGTTCCTTCATACTTCCCAGCATGTGTAAAGCAAGTCCCTTCCAAGTCTCTTTTTGCCTTACATTAGCCGAATTTAATTGTAAGTGCTAAATGAGAAGTCTCAGAGTCTCTCAGCTCATTAGAGTAACATGCACCAAAAGAGTTAAGCAGGTAACTGATTTTATCATCATTTTGTACCTTCAAGCTTATTTTAATGAGAACAGATCCACTTTCTTAGTAAATTCATAAATAACTTTCCTCATAATTAATTGTCTCTCCATGAAATTTTAAAATGGATTTGAATTTGCCAGGAACAGGCTGATTTCCTTTGTAATTAACTAATGTATCAAAAGGGATCATTTATAATGTCTGCGGTCAACATCAGTCAGCACTGTTACAGGGCGGCACAGTAGGGCATGACTAATGAACACATGATGGAATCAAAACTGACAGACAGAAAGTCATAAATCTTTAATTTGCATCCTGGACTTTGCATTTTATATGGGGATTTTGCCTCAAAATGATGCAATTTGCAGAGAAGCTACAGGAGTGAAGTCAATGTCAAACTTGAAACATGCAGACAGAAATTTCTGTCTTCAGAAAGTGGCTGGAGAATTTGGCACTGGTTCTCATAGGCTCCTTAGTTACCTGTGTGAGCAGAAACATGCAGGGACCAGGACCCATTCCACTTCCATCAGCAGATTCTCTAAAATGTCATGCTTCTCATGAATGCCCCTGAAAATTGGAGTATCGATTACATAATATACTACAGTGATGGGTGCTCTATAAATATCTAAGATCAATAGCATTCTCATCCTGCTTATCCTGGACAACAACAGTCTGCAACTCCTCTCTAAATATTGACTCTTCTCCTGTCTTAGCTGCTCTGCCTGACCCAATTTGTTCCACCCCAGTAACTCTCTTACTCCATATAACTTCCATATAACCACTCTTAAAGGTTGCTCAAGCATCTGTCACTAACTCCTTTATTGCAAGCCCTAGCAACTCTTTTCCAAGTCTGATTCCTCTATGAAAGATTATGAACTGGTTGCATTATCTCTCAGAAAATTAACACCAGTGTTCATTCAAGTCCTTTACTCCAGATGAAGGTTTCATTCACAGATCTGTGGCCAGTGCTCTAGAGGAAATCAACCTGAAAGACCACATCTGTCGTTATGGTGTTACATCAGCAGAACTGAATCATGGTGTGGGTGGGATGATGGCACAGTCACAGAGCTGTGCCTACGTCACATGGCCACACCATGCTCAGGGGAGAAAAAGGAGCTGTAAATCTCAGACTCTTCCTCAAATACTGTGATTTTGAAAGCTATTTTGAATAGCTATTATGCTATGCATATGTTAATTATAAAACAGAATGCACTAAGATCAGGTCTGTAGACTAAAAAGATGCCGAGGTCCTGATATCCATGTACTGCATGTACCAGGGTGTTTCACCCACTTCAGACTAGTTTTAGTCTGGTCCTATCCACTGAAAGCTCATTTGCACTTGGAGCACTGTATCTGTGCTCCCAGAGCATGTCTTCTAGTTTTTTTTTCATCCAGAAGCAATCCAGTTCATGAACTTCAAGACTCTGCCTTGATGCTGACCAAAGTTCATGTGGGCAGATCACCAAAAGACTAACTCCAAAACATACCCCTGACCCAGGTTAAAACCCACAGACATCTGCCTCTCACCCAAAGATGTCATCTAAAGAGGAGTATGGGGACAATCTCATCTTTCCACAGGTCATGTCACCAAACTCAGTGTATGCCAAAAGGTCCAAGAGCTGACCTGAGGGCTAAACATACATGTTTGAATGCATTTAGCCATGCCATGTGCATAACAATTCCTTTTTCCAGCAGAGGCCAAGGCACAGCACATTGCTGTGTTCTCCAGGCTCTGCCCTGCACTGTGCAGCCCCCCAGCTGGGCAGTCACAGAGCTTTAGACACAGCTTTGGGGAGAAGGGCAGTCATTATTAGAGGTGCAGGCAGATGTAATGGTAGGAAAAAAGGGGGACAAGTACAGTCTCATCTTGACATCAGATCCAATCATTTTT